CGACACAAATCCAGAAGAACACAGAGATTTAACGAGGTTCGGCAAAGATGCCTACGTCCTCGGGAGCAGAGCGGCGAGTTCCTTTCAATATTCAGAAAAGAGTTTACAGAAATCAGGGATACCTCCTGGGGTTACTAACAGACATATTTATAACCACAGGAGTAAACCTTAGGCACAATATGTAATTACAACATTACCCCTGTACCATACCGCGGGGCTTTGCCCCTGCACCCCAACCCACGTAACTTCCCAATTTGGACAGATTCTTCCGCTCCGCTCTGCTCCGCTTCAATCCAGCGTCTGTCCCGATATGGTATATGAGCCATACCATAACAACACTGATACTAATCCTCCTAATATGTTATCCCCTCATCATTTTCCTATTATTGAAGATGTTGATCACCATATTTAGAAGCAACTTATCATTATGATGGGAGTTATCAGACTCTGACGCTCTGACAGATAGAAGACTTCAGAACATATTTTTCAGGCAAGGCAAAATAAAGAAAAAAATTATCCTTATTATGCAAGATCCACTAAACTTCAAACAGGGCAAGGCATTACAATAGCTTTCCGTCTATTATGGGATTCTTCAGTCTATGCTATCATGTTATCATTAATTATATTTTGTGTTTCTACTTTTTCAAGTATTTTTCATAATTGTTTCATGATGCACTAATATCATTAATTCACTATAAAATTATGCTTTGAAAAAAGGGCTTTGATGAGTGTTTGATAACAAGTTCTAAGGTTTGCTCTGCAATTTAACCATAGAATTCAATCCTACATTCCATCTAACAAAATAAAAATATTTTGTTGTCTAGATGTGAACCTATGAGGACTCCAACAAAAGATAATTTATAATTTTATTTTTAACTTTAATAAGCGTAAAGGAGATTGAATGAAGTTATGCTTTAAGCAGAAAAGTACAGCACCATTAAAACAATATTATTCTCGCTGAGTCCAAGATTGCATAAAGATTGAGAAAAAACTAAAGATTAACAAAAAAACCTAGGCGCCCGAATTACAAACTTGAGCAAAACATTGTGTCCAAAAGCAAAAGGTAAAAAACCAAAGTGCAAAAATGTGGCCAGAAAAGCTTTTTCTATCTTGGACGTTTTGTTCCAATGTGATCTTAAAATGAAGTACCCATTACAAGGACCTAGTTCTAATTGGTGTTGACAAAGTCAAAATTGATGCAAACAACATAGCATCACTCGGGCTAAATTTGGGTTCAAAAGAATTTGGAATACAGGAAATGAAAAGAAGACAAAAATGCAAGTGATAAATGAATTGAAAAAAATTGAATGAAGGTATGTGAGTCTTAATGATGATTTGATAGAGCATTCTTCTCATTTTTTGCAAAAGTTAAAAAAGGAATTATAATTGGAAAAAGGTAACTGTGCATATTCCCAATGTAATTCCAATAATTAACAAAATACCTTGGAACCAAACAGCACTTTAGAGAAAATAATTATGTAGCCACTCACATTGTTCCAGCGATCCGGGTGCTTATATGGGTGTTTCCCTTCTCATCAAGCTTTGCCAAGCCAAAATCTGATATTTTGGGGTTAAGATCATTGTCTAACAACACATTTGTAGCTTTAATATCTCTATGAACAATCTTGAGCATCGACTCTTCATGCAGGTAAGCAAGGCCTTTCGCTATGCCGACACAAATTTTGTGCCTTGTGACCCAGTCTAGCTTCAACTGATATTTATCTGGCCCTATAACATGAATAGCTCTATTCTTCAACATAAAAAGATGAGCTGGCCAACACGTAAACACACTCACAAACAAATTTGAAAAAAATAAACTGAAGTGAAGTAAAAAAATTTAAGAAAATAGTAGAATATAGGTTGAGCATAACAATTTAGATAAATTTACATTCGTAGCACATAATTCTTATGTATTTACATATCTCACATCTAAACTTTCATATTTACAATAAAAAGCACTTTCGTGATTAAAACTTATGCATGAAAAGGTGGATTTCACTTTTAAAAAATGATAAAGTGCTAAAGATTTGAGTTATATGTGTGTAACGATGAAAGTTCAGGTGTGAGATAAGTAAATACAGAAGAATTGTGTGCTATGTATGTAAATGGCCCAACAATTCAATGTTTCAAATACTAAACACACAAATGACCATCCTTACCATAGAGAGCACGGGCAAGGCTATTATTTTCCATATATTCATATACTAACAATAACTGCTTTCCTTCAACGCAACAACCATAAAGCTTTACAAGATTTGGGTGTTGTAATGCAGAAATCATGCCCAACTCATTTACAAATTCTTGATTTCCTTGAGTTGACGTCGAAGAAAGCTGCTTCACCGCTATTACTGTTTTATCTGGTAACTCGCCCTGAACAATGAAAATAATTTGAAATAAATTTGGTCAGCTCTACCATAAACTTTGCTAAAAAAAATTTTTTTTTTAAAAAGAACAGCAGTTATGCATAAACCTTGTACACAGATCCAAAACCCCCTTCTCCGATCTTGTTTGAAGAGCTAAAGTTGCTTGTGGCAGCTTGAATTTGTCTCAGAGAAAATGTAATGCTTTCCAGACCCCTCAGATCTGTCCAAAAACAGGAGAACCTCACGAAGTTTGCAGGCTGTACAAATAAATTAGTGACGTATTTATTCTCACAGGGAAAAAAGATGAAGAATTGCATACATCCACTCAATTCCTGTGTATTTACATAGGTATCATCTATACTTTAATTTGTACATACATACCATCATAACTATGCATGGAAATGTGTTTTTCATTTTTTGAAATTAAAATGGTGGTAGTTTTGATGTGATATGAAATATTTTTGTTATACAAAGGTAAATAACAAAATTTAGGTGCTCGTTATGTAGATACACAGAAATGGGTGGGTATGTATGTAAATGCCCTCCAAAAAAAAGATAACTAGCTCTGTTTGGATATTTCCTACAGCAACTTGAAGAAGTGAACCTGATAATGTAGATGTGTTTTTGAAATTGTTTTGCAAGAACATTGTCAAAATAATATTAGGATTTACATCCTCCTCCAATTATTGTTACAATCGTTTGATTTAATTGCCCAAATCAGGACATTCAATATATTTTTGGTGGCAAGGATTTATTCTATTTAAATTAGAGAGCATTTAAACATGTTAGAATAATCAATATCACCCAAAGAGGATTGGATGATTGGGCCGAAGGTATAATTTTTTAAGGCATTAATCTTTCATTACATATTTTCAGTAAAACTTAGGCAAGATGTTATATGATATTCTAAGACAAGGCTGGCATTATAAGCTTTACGCTTATGAATAATTTATTGTATAGAAGTTTACTGCTGGGGCAGATGTAATAATATAGATATATACATATAAATAATAATAATTAAATTCATTCAAAAATTAAATACCACAACAACAAGTCTTTATCCCACGAAGTGTGGTCAGCTACAAAAATCTTTTTTCTTTTTTGGTCCAATTGAGTGTCATATTTTCATTTAATTCTATAGATTAAGATCATTTTTTAAAACATGCCCAAGTCTTTTAGGCATACCTGTACCGTTCTTAGCATAGGACAAATCTAAAACATCTACTCTCCTAACTGGGTCAATAGATGATCGACATTTATGTAACAATAATGTTTGCCACTAGAGCCACACTGATACCAAATGAAGCAAAAACTCAACCAAAACTTAAAAGCAAACTTTCAATGTAGAAATTGGGCTACAACGACACAGCTAGAAAGAAAAATACAACACTACGCTCCAGCTAAGGCTGGAAGGGAGGGCTTGGGGCGGTGGTGGAATTGGCGAAGTTGTACGAGGACGAGGAAGGGGTGGAGGCAGCGGGGTAGGTTAGAAAAGGGGATTTGAAATGAGGGGTGGTGGCTGATTTGATGGTTGGAGGAGTGTGGCGACAGGAAATGTGGCGTAGAAATTGGGCTACAACGACACAACTAGAAAGAAAAATACAACACTGCGCTCCAGCTAAGGCTGGAAGGGAGGACTTGGGGCGGTGGTGGGATTGGCGAAGTTGTACGGGGACGAGGAAGGGGTGGAGGCAGCGGGGTAGGTTAGAAAAGGGGATTTGAAATGAGGGATGGTGGCTGATTTGATGGTTGGAGTGTGGCGACAGGGAATGTGGTGGGTGCTGGTGGAGGGTGACACGGACTGCAAGGAGGGCTGCCTTGAGTGGCTGGTGGGATGCAGGTTGGTGATCAAAGGGCTGAACAACAAGGTCTGGCTGCTAAGAAGAGAGGACAAGGTGTTGATAGGTGGATGGAAGGGCTGGAAGTGGGCGGCAGCGCAAGGAGGATATGTTGGGGGTGGTCGGCGGCTAGAGAGAAAGGAACGGGAGGAGAGGAGAAGGGCTTTGAGGAAGATACAACACTACCTCAGAGTAAGATATAACCGGAGAGCCACCACCTCCTAGGATAAAACCCTAAAACAGGGAGCACATAAGGAAGGAATAAAGTTTCGCCCCTCCAGAGATCGTGAAAATTCCTTGCGACACTCTCCATAAATCGCAAGACTCCTTCCTGGACCGCATACCTGCCTTCCACCACCCTCCAAATGTCATGAGACTTCCGCCTAGACCGATTCAATCGGCTAGTGCTTCAGCGCTCCGCGTTAGTCACCTCAGGTTGGGGAAGCTTCGACCTCATTCGTCGAAGCTCCCAGCTCCTAAAAGTATGGCATCAGGTCGACAACGTTGAATGTGACTGAAATATTGTAGTCCCCAGGCAGGTCGATCTTGTAAGCATTGTCATTCCAATTTCGAAGTATTCTGAAAGGTCCATCTGCTCTGGGCTTAATCTTCCTGAATGCTCCAAAGGGAAACCTTTCTTTCTTTAACCAAATTCGCACGATGTCGCCTTCCTGGAATGTTACTTTCTTTCTGGACTTATTCGCTTGTGCCTGATATTTGAGATTTTGCTTGACAATCTCCTTGTCATCGTCCTCATGGAGTTTTTGAATATCATGGACACGTTCTGCATCATCTCGTTGACTTCCGAGGACAGCATGAGTGACACCAGCTCAAGTGATGTGAGCAAATTGTGGCAGTACACAACCTTGAAGGGAGTGTGTCCAGTAGTTTGGTTTGGGCTAGAATAAGATCCCACCGCTTTATTCTTTTCACCATGAAGCACCTCAGAAGATTGCCAAGGCTCCTATTTACTACCTCTGTCTGTCAATCTGTCTGCGGATGAGCTGCTGAGTTGAATTGGAGCTTGGCGCCTAGCTTTCCCTGCAGTATCCTCCAAAAGTGGCTTAGGAAGTTGACGTCTCTATTGAAGGAGATGTTCTTGGGAACTCCGTGCAACCTTACAATCTTCCTGAAGTACAGATCATCAATGTGAGAGACATCTAGTGTCTGGTGGCAGAGTACGAAGTGGACTATCTTGTAGAATCTGTCTACCACAACCATCATGGAGTACTTGTTCATCTGAGTCCTCGGGAGTCCTACCACAAAATCCATGCTGACGTCCATCCAAGATGTCTCTGGTACTGGGAGTGGCATGTAGAATCTTACGTTATGTCCCCTTGTCTTCGCCAGATGACAGGTGTAGCACTGCTTGACATGTCGCTCCACATCTCTCGTTAGTTTGGGCCAAAAAATACTCTCTTGAAGTGACCTGCTAATCCTCCACTATGGATTTCCTGAATAATGGCCTTTCTCAGTGAACATCTGAAAAAGCACAACCGACTCCGGTGAAACAAGTATCAATCTGCTCTGTAATACTATCTTGTTGGCTTCTCCTAACATTACTACCAAATATATTTGAAATCCTCATTTGCTTCGTATAGATCCTTTACGACCACAAAGCCCACAACTCAGGTTTGCATGGATGTGATCAACAAATGTAGACGACTCAGTGCATCTGCACAATTCTGGTTTTCCGCCTTGTGCTTAATCACAAACTTGAATGAGGCTAGAAATTCCACCTAAGTGGCGTGTCGGCCTTTCAATTTACTCTGGCTATTGAAGAATTTTAAGGTCTCGTGATCCGTAAATAGTGTGAACCCATTCATCTGTAGGTAATGAATCCAGTACTACAATGCTCTCATGATGGCATAGAATTCATTGTCGTAAGTTGAGTATTTCCTCCTAGACTCATTCAGCTTATCACTGAAAAAGATGATGAGATGTCCTCCCTGACTTAGTACTGCTTCTATTCCCATGCCGGAGGCATCCCAATATACCTTGAAAAGTTAGTTGAAGTCTGGTAATGCTAGCAAGGGCGCTTGAGCCATCTTTTTCATTAGTGTGTCAAAGCTGTCCCGAGTTGATGTTGTCCAAGCAAACTCTTTCCTTTTCAAAAGTTTGGTTAGAGGGGAGGAGATGGTGCTAAAGTTCCCAATGAATCTCTGGTAGAATATGCTAACCTCAAAAATTGTCGCAGCTTGGCGAACGATTGTGGTGCGGTCCAGTTGATAATAGCATCTATCTTTGTGTGATTCATCTAAATGTCTGCATTTGATAAAATGTAGGCATTTCTTTGGATGGGCATATAGTTGCGCTGCTCGCAGTATCTCGAATGCTGCCTTCAGGCAATGTGGATGATCTTTCTCTGATCGAATGTATCCTAGAATGTCATCAGACCATGACAAACTTTTCAATGTGAGCCCGAAATACCTAGCTCATCAATCTCATGAATATGGTGGATGCGTTTGACAGACTCGATCGAATGTATCATAGAATGTCATCAGACCATGACAAAATTTTCAATGTGAGCCCGAAATACCTAGTTCATCAATCTCATGAATATGGTGGATGCGTTTGACAGACTGAAAGGTATAACGATCCACTCATAAAGCCCGTCCCGTGTCTTTAAGGTGGTTTTTCACTCATCTTCTGACCTCATTCATATCTGGTGATACTTGCTGCACAAGTCGATCTTGGAGAATAAAGTGGCTCCGTACAACTGGTCTAAGAGAACAACCATGCAAGGTATGGGAAATTATTACTTAATAGTGAACTTGTTGATGGCTCGGTTGTTGATGCACATCCCCCACGATCCGTCCTTCTTTGGCACCATCATGGCGAGATCAATACATGGGCTAGTGCTTTCTCTGAGTAGTCCCCATACAATGAGATCCTACACCTGTCGTTGTAGCTCCTCGTACTCCGCAGGTTTCAAACTATAAGTGGGTTGTTTTGGCAAAACTGATCCTGGTATAAGGTCTATGGTGTGTTGGATGTCCCTCAACGGTGATAACCCCTCTAGAAGACTTTCGGTCATGACATCTTGGAAGTCTTGTAGTAGTGATCACAATAGTGTTGGTACCTCCCTTTCCTCCAGGAGAACTAATGCTAGTGCCACAGGGGCATCTCTAACTGACTATAAGAAAGTGGTCTGAGGGACTAATGTTGCCTCTGTATCACTCTTGCCTTTCGTATCATTAGATGATAGCAAAACGATATGTTTCCCATCCTTCTTAAAAGAATAAGCATTTTTTAAATCCTCGAGCTGAGTTTTGCGGTTGAACTGCCACGACCTACCCAATAGAAATTGGCAGGCGTCTATTGGAACCATGTCGCACCATAATTGTTCTTGTAGTTGATCCTTGATGGAAAAGTCAACTAA